GTCACCACTGACAGTCAAATTATCAATAAAATGAATACTAATAAATGGCTGTCAATGCTAACGGTTTTTCCAAATGCTAATTTTGTGTACGCCAAAAAGAGACAGCACACATTTTCATAGAAGTTATGAAATACCTACATAGTATGTAGCTGTTATTCCTTGGCATAAACCAATAACTCTTTAGAGTTTTATGAAAAAAAAGAGTTTTCACAAATAATGCATGTAAGTTTAATAAGTTTCAAATAAAATTATATTTTTTTAATAAATTTTCATTTTTATTTAGGCATTTTTAAATTCTGAAATATCCGTGAATTAGAAATTTGTGAAAATCATGAATCATGGATTTTTTTTTTATAATTCATTATTTAATTATTATTTTTTTTTGCATTTCTTTTCTTATATTTATTTATATTTGTATTACTTATTTTAATTAGAACTTTTAAATTTATTCAAGAAATAAAAATTATATTATCTACAGCGCAAAAGAATCTTTCTCTTTTTTCATCTTTCTTGTGATAGATTTATAGTCATAACAGAAAAATTGCAGCTATGATGGTATCGATTTATGGCCAGTAATGACTGAGTTAAAGGAATTAGAGTGAGCAGTATGGGTATATAGTGAATCAATTCCGAATACCCAGGTGTTAAAGAGAAATGCAAAATCTCACACATCAGTTTTTGCTCAAGGCCGTGAAGAAAATTATAGAAATGTTGTCCGCGCTGACAAAATTTTTTCAGCTTTGACCGATCACATTACCGTCACTGTTCTTGTAGGGTATTGAATCACGCTTTATTTATTTTCTTTTACCATGTCACGTAACAAAATGGAGCAGCAAACAACCCCTTTCCAAACCCTTAATATAAAGTGGATTATTTCGATTGATATGAAAGTGGAAAATTGCATTACCAGACAGTTCCTATCAGTTCTAGGAGGGGATTCCATATGCGTAGTTAGAGTTTATGTGTATAAAGTTCACAATTGCGAACTGTGTGAAGCAAGTTTTTGTATTTTGACAGCACTGAATAAAATGGAATTTTTTGTGTCAATGAAACATTTTTTTTATCCCTACAAGAACAGTGGCAGTCGTTTTACCGGTAATATGACATGAGTCAGAGCTGAAAAAATATTGTCAGCGCGCAGAACAAAGTTTCTATAATATTCTTACTGGCTCTGTGCAAAAACTGATGTAAACAAACATAAACGTCGAGTTTGCATCTCTCTTTAACAGATCGGTATTTAGACTTCACTAACTCTATATAACTATACTGCTCGCTCACTGAAAATTGTCGGTTATGACCAAGGATGGGCACGATCAAATCAAACGAGCATCACAAAATGAGATGGTATTAGTGTGCTTACTGTCGAACAAAGGTAATCAACGAACACATATAATGTCTTAATTTGTAACTTCAAACCATCTTTTAATACATAATTGTTTACGGAATTATATGTGCCAGAACTGCATCCATTGCAATGAATAATACTAACTTTACAATTTGTATGCCTATTTTTATATTAACTATTTTTTCATGTTTATTGTCGCAGATACATGTCCATTCATACGCATAGGCCTGCTCAGCTTGAATTTATATAGTAACATACGCATACGATCACTTACGCTCTTTTAGCACATGCTAAGGTTTTGCCCATCCCTGGTTAAATCTGTCATAGCATAGATATAAACTTGTTTGGATCGGTAAGTTTTAAGTTAAGTTTGTCGTCATTGGAGCAACACCTAGCAGCAGGGTTGCACTGATTCATCTTAAGGCCTACTCTTTATGAAAGATGCTATTTGTTATAGAGATTCATCTTGGTATCAGCGGAAACAGAGATTATTTACTACTATTTGTAATAACTGTTTTTTACATGAATCTGTGTTGGAAGCTTATTAGAGAGTCAATACGTTTTTTCAGAAATGTACAGAATGGGAGAAGAGAATATAAAACACATAGTATGCTCAGCACGTAAAACACAAGTTCTAACACTGTATATTCTGCCGACATTTCAATCAAATGAAAGGATAAAATATTTTCCAAGCAAAAAGGGGAGGAGGCGTAACCGCATAGATATTACCACTGACGTTTGTGGCGAATGCAAACAACGAGTTACACATTGTAAAAGTAAAGCAAAGTAGAAAAATATTTGACAATGCAAACTCAAACTACTCTCTCGCAATTATTAGAGGCACAACGAGCTATAAGCAGCACATTTCCATACCAACCAACCTGCCAGCCAGCCAGGCAAATCCGCAAAGTGTAAACATGCAACAACAAATCTCTAACCACTGTTCATCTGTGGTTGCATTCCTTCCCTCAAGCGCACACTAATGAACGGTGATTCTTCACAAAAATGCTATAAAAAAGAAAAAAACAGAAGCAGGAGTTAAAAACTGACGTATTCGTATGTTAAAAATCAGTCTCTATTTCAAACAGTGCCTACAACAACAAGTATAATGCTCAACAGCAACAAATGATATAAATTAAAGCATATGAATGTTGCTTGCTTAGCCTGGTGGTTGGCAGTTGCTTACCACCCCTCCATTGTAAAACATTTGCATCGCTCAAGCAAATGCATCGCAATCATGGTAACAGGCAAGCTTCGTGCACACAATCAGAGCCTGCGAGAAGGAAACAGGCTTATATCGGTATTGTAGCTCAGTCCAACTCGGTTCTGCTCAACGAAAAAAAAAAAAAAAACAGTGTAAAAAATAGAATAAAGAATATTTAGCTGCCAACAATCGTGGGTGTGTTAGTTCTGTTTCAACAGTGGGTCAAGAGTGCATATTTATTAATGTTAATAATTAAAAAAATAAAAAAAATCATCCTTTTCCTCTGTTAAATTTTAATAGGGATAAGGAGAATTAGAAAAATTAGAGCCTAACTAAAAACTAGACAAGAATAAATTTCAGAGCCAAGTAGCCGAATCTTGGCGAATTAAAATGTCGTATAAATCAGGGGTGCTCACGCCATAGCTCACTTGAAGGTTTGGCTCTCAAAAACATCAAGTGGCTCCGTTTGGCCACGAAAAATACCTTTTACAATAAAAATAGCATTTTTAAGAAACTTGATTGACTCAACTGACTTGCGCTGGTGCCGTTTGGACCATTGTACCGCTTCCGAAACTAACCGGTTAATCGTCATGCATTCAGTGTTGGCTAACATTTGCTCGCTTTCACTTAGCTACAACAGATTGCTTTGTTGTCAATTATTTAGAGACATAGCCGAAACGTACATTGGCCGTCTGAATAAATTTAGGATAGGCTCGAAGCGCTTTGTCGATGTGTAAGGGTCTTATGATTTAATATATAGGAGGTAACGGACCGGCGTTCGAAGCTGTCCAAGGGAGAGGATTGACCTATTAACCTAACCTAACCCAACCTAGTTCAGTAAAAATATAGTTTTGTTCGACGTCATTCTGAAAAATATGTTGTTGTAATATTTATTGATATTTTTGCCGTTTGGCTTTAGAATTAAATTTTTTGGTCACTCCTGATACAGAGCAGGGGCTCAGAACTATATTTTTACTGAACCATGCGTTATTTATAAGTTTCATTATAATGCGTTGTTGTTGTATGTGAGATTACGATGATTACAACTTTCCTCGATTTGCTTAACAATTCATATTTTATCAACGAAGTGAAGAAAGCAAATGATATGTTGAATGTACGCTATATCGAAGTTATCTGTCAAAGCACATGTCTGAAGCTAAGCGAAGCAAAAGTTATATGTGAACCAGCCATGGGTATTGTCATTGACGTCATCTAACGGGAGAATCAGGAAGCGAGCTTTTTCAACCAGGTATGTAGTGTTTGACATCTCAAGAGGTGGTAAGTATCATGAGAAGGCTTGTCGCAGGCGGATTTTACATCCCATATAACGAGCGCCAGAAGGTTAAGACATATAAATAAATGCCAAACATATACATACATACATAAATTTCAAATGCTTTTGTGTAGCGGTGTGCCTAAAGGTTATATGAGTTACCTCTGTTAGAGATATAACAACATAAACAATGAACATTATATGTTATACTCATACAAGTCTCATTTCAGTTTGGCTTATGCTTTGCATCTCTCGCGATATCTCACAGTTTTAATATTTTCCTAATAGGTATAAAACGTACTGAACTGTCTGACCGATAAGACGTACGTGATATATTCTCCTCCAATAGAGAGATCTTTGGACTTGAACATTGATTGTAATAGGTTGAAGTTTTTCGGAGCACACATATATACAAGTATCTGTTTTAAACATGGTGTCTCATATTAACCTAAAATCCTCTCTACATGTTTTAAAAGTCCCCTCGCTTTTAACAAAGTCGGTGTGGACCTACATACAGTGACTCACACACTAACCGGATGCGTGCATTGCTAATGATAACACCATTCAATCATAATGTAAAAATATTAAAAATGTCATATATGATACATCAAATTAGTGGAAAAATCTTCTATTTTATTTTTGGAAACTTATAAATAATAATCAATTAATTCACCGCGCATAACTTAGAAAAATAGAGTTTAAACAAATAAGGAAGAGCTAAGTTCGGGTGTAACAGAAAATTTCATAGTCTTGCAAATTGCAAGGATCAAAGCCGGGGAAATACCTTCAGGTATTGGCAAAACGTTCTATTTTGAAATGTAGCGAAAATGTTCAACTTCATTGTTCGACGAAATGGTGAATAGATTACAATCAAATTTCGTATGATATTATCTTAACTTATTTTGAAGGTCAGTTTTATTACTATATTTTAAATTAGCCGTTAGCGAAAATTATACTAAAATCATTCGGGACAGAGCAATGGAAGGGCATTAATTTTTGACATTGCACAGATATATCTCAAGTTTATAATTTTCAAGAAATTATATAAATATAAAGATATACTATCAGCGTCAAAAGAAAGTGTACACCTTTTTCTCATACATTTTACTCTTTATTTCAGTATAAAAATGTAAAAATTTTTTCAAATCAATTTATAAATGATTTAATATTGTTCTTACAATAACAGCAATCCAAAACAAAATTCACAAGTACAAAAACAACACAAACAAAACGAAATATACTCAGAACTTTACGCGTCAAAACAAAGTGTACAGTTTAAGAAAAATTAAAAAAATCCAATGTTAATACTTTGTTTGTCTTCCATTTGCATGGATTTTGGATCACACCTCTTATAAAATATCCTTCAGAGAACTTTTACTGGGTATACTCTTTTTCCTTATTTTCCGGTTCTAATGTTTCCACAGATGCTCAATGAGGTTTAGGTCCGGTGATTGTGTCGGGTGATCCAGTTGTTTAGGTGTGTAGCAACCATTCCTTTGCTATTCTTGCCGTATGCTTAGGATCGTTATCCTGTTGGAAGAAATATAGTATATTGAGTAAAGTCAGCCGGACGTTTCAAAATCCTGAATATCAGTTGCATGTTACTAAGGCAAGCTTTCGTACGATTTTATCCATATTAGACAAAAATATACACTGTTATTAGGAAAATACGCTCTCTCAATTTCATTAAAATAACTACCACATTGGCCAATATATGCGGTATAAAGTTTTAGGGCTATTTTTTTTTTCTGCAAATTGTTGATTCTTTTGTCAGTGTCATTCAGTTTCGGTACTACTGAAAAAAGTTACAAACATACAATTGAAGCTAATAAAAGCGTTATAAAAATAACTCGCTACATACCAAATTCGCTCCACACAACTAACCGCATTTTTAAAAAATCCAATGATTACTAATATTTCTTAGCATATCCTTTTGCAATTAAAACAGTTTCTAGTTGCCTTGGTATAGAGGTGACAAGTTTTTTACACAATTCTAGTGGTATTGCGTTCCAAGCTTCTTGGAGCTCAGCAGCACTGGAATACTTCTTTTGGTTCAATTTTCGACTGACTTCTTGCCCTGCGTGCTCAATAACGTTCAGACCTGGGAATTAGGGTAGTTATCCTATACATGAGGCAATTGTATATTAACCAAGTACGAGCAATCTTCGATTAGTGCTTCGCATCGTTGTCTTGGAAAAATTTAAAATTGTCTTTAATTCCCAATGTGACACATGACTGTTTTACATTTTCCTTTAAAATGTCAACATATTGGAAACGATTCATAATACCTTGCACAAAATGTAGGTTGCCCGATATGCTTCCACAAATCATTACCGCCTGTGCTTTAGTGTTGCCCTATTAAGTTTTGGAAAGTAAGCATCGTTGGGTCGCCGCCAAACTTGGACCATCAGATCCCTGCAAGTTAAATTTGCTTTTGCCTGTGAAGAGGACCATGAAAGAGAAGATATAATACTGTAACTGAATAATTAGCTTCCGAATTTTCAGCGTCATGCTGTCGTGTTGCTTACTCACAGACTGACAGATGATTACTAATATGCAGAAAAGAATATTCAGTGTTTGTTCAACAACGATCAGAACTATCGTTACTTCTTGAAATTTTCCGGTAAGTTGTGTGGAACGAATTTTGTATGTTGCGAGATATTTCCCTAAGTTTAGCCCTGCATATTCATTTATTATTATTTTTAAGTTTCCAAAAATACAATAGAATACTTTTTTCTTTAATTTGATGTATATTTTATAAAATTTTTTAGTTTTTTACTTTATGATTGGATGGTGACATTATTAGCAATGCACGTATCCGGTTAAACGTGTGAGTTACTGTAATTATTTATTCATTTATCGGTTTATAGAAGTTGCTGCTGAATCGATTCAAATGTGGTATAAGTAGATAACCTGTATCCGAGACATTTTTAAGTGAAGATTTTTGAAATTGCGACACTAATCAGCGACTTTATGCGAACCAATAAGAGTTGCTAAGTCATGTGGCGTTACGGAAGTGGATGCGAGGCGAACAATTGCTGCCAGTTTAGCAACACATTTCTCTTCGCCTCACGTATTCATTGCTGCTGGGCAAATTTTTGCAATTACATATACACATGTTTACTTTAGTTCTTGTAAATTAAAAATTTAAAGACTGTGTAATTAGGACGTGTCGCGTCGTAAATACCTAGTTGTAGCTAAATTTATGCAAACATGTTTATGTACATATATGTATGTATAATATGTACATGCAGGGAAAAATATAGAAAACGTTTCTAAATGCATATATACTACAATACATCTGAATATATGTATGTATGTATATAAATCGACAAATGTGATGTTTTGATTTTTTGTGTTTTCACACATGTGCTCTTCCTGCGAAAATCAGATCACTTCGTACTGATAACAATGATGACTGCTTCCTGGTAGCAACAAATTCTTGCTCACACACACACACTACCTTATTCAGAGATAGTTGACAACTCTGTTGCTGTTGTTTACTGTTATATTGCAGATTTTGAAGTTGACGCTGATGCGTTTCCACGTTTTACGCTGAGTGACAAAATCACCGCATAGTGACAAGTCTAGTTGATGTAGACGTCAAAAGCCACAGCCAGCACAACAACAAGAACAATAGCAACAGCCACGTAAACCACGTGCAGAACAAGTGTAAAATATTGCCAACAAGTATGAATATGCGTATGTTTTCAATAAGTGACAAACCATAACCAAGGTTGCCGTTGCATGTAGAGATACATATACATATGTATATATATATATATATACATATATGTATATATATGTATGTATGTGCGTATGTATCACTCAACTCAGATGATGTGAAGTCTCCTATACAACCAATGGTGTTAGCGCTGTTGCAGCGATGGTGTTGATGCGTTGATTTCTTCAATGATACTTGCCGCATAGGCAACACCAATATATTTGTTCTTGTTATTGCTTGTGCTGCTGTGATTCCGTTATTGTCATTGCAACCACCAACTCCCCCACACACGAAGCCACTGTCAGTCATTGTTACAGCTGGATGCCGCTGCAGCTTTTTTGTACTTTTGCTTTGTGTCTTCCGCTTCAGCTTTGGGGGTGGTTTTGCGGCTTGGTAGCTGCGTCCGTTGCCGATTGCTCGACTCGGCATTTCTTGCGCTGTGGACGCTTTGCCTATTGGCAGTGGCAAGTGTGGCGCGCGTTTTTCATAATTTTAAAATTTTCAGCCAGAATCCAACTCATTTCATTTTTAACTGTCATCGTTAGCGGTAGTTAGTGGCAGTTGGATTAATAGCGTTATTGCATTGCGTTGAATATTATAACTTCGTGTCGTGCGTTAATTAAACTTCAATAATCCAATTAATGATATTGTAGTCATAATACAATTGCATAAATAAATAAATTAAATCGTCTAATTGAACGTGATAAATAAAATTGGCGATTCTGTTGTGAAATTCATAAAAAAAAAACAAATAGTGTAAACATTTATCAATATTTTAAGTCCATGCAATATACAATACATATGTATGTATACAGATAAGTAGAAAGCAACCCCACCCCGCAAAATTTAATATATTTCAAATAGATAAAATAAAAGAACTGTCGTAGGCGAAACGTTTGAATATATGGTTACCACCTGTTTCTGACGGACTGTCGAAAATAATTATTTATTAATATTAATCACTAATCGGCAGAAAATACCAAACCTTCGAAGGTATGTAAGTTTATAAGGCATAAGCACAAAATTATTTAAATTGGGACAAATGCCAGATATTCATAATATACATATGTATTTGTACTTCTGTAAGTGGCAAGAGCCATTAAATTATGTACAAATAACGATGAAAGAGCAAATTCATTACGGTTCTACATAAGCTTTGACCTTCATTCTTTCGACCAGTCTTGTGCAAAGCTCATTCAACGGAAATTAAGAAATCACCAAAACTAAGCAGTTTGAGAACAACCTTCGCTGATACTAGCTACATGCCCAGAACATCTGAAATTCTTGTCTTACCAAATGAAATGTCGACGTCATCAATTTGTTGGTTTTGAATAGTACTTTTCTTGCAACGGTTATTTCGTTCACAACGGTTTCTGAGTTACAGGAGCTAAGACGAGTTTTGTGCTTTTACTTTAATTGACTCACTGTATTCCTCTGTGCACATTTTCAGGGGGGTTTTGTGCACCTAATTACTGTTGAAATTCTTTGATCAATTGTTTAGCATAAGAATTTCGCCGTGCAAGATATTCAATAGCCTTTATGGAAGAGTACTGTTTTTTTGTATTCGTCAGAAAGCAATCTGAAATCGTTTTAACCATTGTAAAACCATTTGGTGTACATGACCGTCGTAACTTTTTGAACATTTAATTACCTCTTGGCAATTTTGAATCAAGTTTGGAGTTAGAGCTCAACAGTTAAAATTGCTTCCAGGGTATAACAATTTTTGTTAAATGACTCAAAAACTCGTACATAATTCGGTAGATGCAGTGAAATACTACTTAAAATTATAACGCGATTTCGTTAAAATTAATATATCAGAGTAAAATGTGAGATAACTGATTAACTGGGATGCCTAAAGTCTCAGAAATTATACAGTTTTCTAAAAATATTGAGATGATTTTACCTCCATGAAATTTTATAAATAACACTAGTCTACAGTGGTTTTGTTGCCTTAGCTATTTATAAGATATTTATTTGGGCTCACAAATCTTGAAACTATCAATGATTTTATAAGATTTGCTCTTGTTTATTTTTAAATCCTTATTTTTATCTTATATTACAAAAATCAGGAAACATAAAACAAAATAACATATTAATTGATAATGACAGTTTTGTTTTAAAAATAAGGATACATTCAAGTAAACAGAGAGAAAAATGTCGAAAACATATGTTATATTTCAATAAAACGCTGTTTATGAGCATTTCATTTATATTGTTCCAGTTGACAATTCAGTTGACCTCCTGTAATATATCATTGTATAATGATCTATCAACTTTGATACCTTACTTCTATCAGTTTTAGATCCTAGTGAAACCGTTCTTTCTATGCCTCACTATAATTTCCAAAATTATTCGAAAATTATTCCAGAGGATTGCAGATATTGTTTAACTTGATACTCATATTTGCTCCTAGAGTTTGTAAGTTTGTCAACATGTTTTTTTTTAATTTCTTAATCATTTGGTGATTTATGCTTAGAAAATTTTGTATTATAAAATAATACACAAACTTTTCGAAACTTCAATTATGGAACAGCCATAACCTTGATAAAATCTGTATATTTCATTAATTGCAAATATTCCACATTTTAACTTTTCCATACCAACTTGCGGAAATTTTCTACAATAAAAACAATATCCTTTCACGTCCACCGCTTTAAAAACTGCGTAACCATTCCTAACTTGATACCGTATTAAATCACTGAGTTCATTGTGAGGAAAAAACTTTGTTGGAGATGTTTCCACCTCCCATTTACTTTCAGTGGTAGAATGTAAAGATTTCTGTGGATTCGGCGACATCATTCTTTCTGAGGAGTCCATGCGAATTACTTTTGAAACAAAAACGAGATTTTCATTTAGTAAAACAAGAAAAAAAATCATTTTTTTTAGAGCTGTGTAATATTTTACGCGTCCAAATCAATTAAAAAAGTGTTAACGATCTATTAACTGTCATGTTATGCAACAAATATTCTTTCAATTAAAGTTACACTTATTGAGTACATCAACTACATCGCCCACAACTCCATACACAGCATATATTATTAGGTACTAACACACTTCTGTGCTCGAGAGAGCGGCACTGCTAAGGAAAGTTTACTTAACTCCCAGCACAATGCTGATAAATGCCATCCGGAACGGTTTGGGTTCAAACCTAAATAGTATTCGTTTAAGGTGATGTGTGATGTTGGACACACATATTATTGTCACGTCTGCGAGGCATATATAGATGTGAACGTACACATGACTTCATTTGCCACATGTCACACCATGTCATACATCAAACACTTTACCAGCTATCGTTAACATCCACTGTTAACGGTCATGGTAATTACTATAGAGGTAAGAGTAAAGTACGAAGCGCCTAAAGCCACAAGTGGCACATAAATTTAATTCGCAGTCAAATGCGACGGGGTGTAGCCCCTGCCAGAGTCACATTGATTTAAATATAATGTAAGTTCGTATTCGCAGATGAAGTGCACACACATATGTACATATATGTATGTATATGAACAAGGATCTATCACCTCAGACTATAGATGGCTTTAGAAATCGCCAAATATAAATGTATGTAGGTATATTTTAAGGGATGTTAACTGCCAGTTATGTCCGTCTGTTTCGGCCGCTCATCGCACACATGATTACTAGGGCTGTTAGGGGTCGAAATGTTCGTCGATGGTAATGTTGCTCGTAATTATCTTATACCACAATGGTGCGATCTTAAGTCATAGCACACATATAAGCTTTGTTTTTAAATGTACTCGTACATAAACTTGATTGCAGGGTGAAATCAATCAAGCGAATACGGATTTTTCAACTATTCTTGTATGGATGTATCCACAAACAGACACATGAATATACAATTATATTTTGTATCAGTAAATTTTTTATGGTCAATATCAACTTTTACCTAAACAGTCCACAAGTTTCGAACCAAGAAGTTCCGGGCCAGAGATACCCCCAGGGTCAGTAACAAGTCGATTTTAGGATAAGTTTTCTTTTCGATTTCTAAAATTTCGCGACTGAATAATTCTGCAAACAATAAACCTTTCAATGTTTTATAAATAGTAGTGATTTCCACCCTCAGTTTTGATAGGGTTACTTAGAATGTATGAGTTGCGATTCGAATAACGACCGTTAAGAAGTATAAAACTTTATATACATATGTACATATAGTTAGAGTCACTGCAGGTGAACGATAAAAGCCGAATGCGAGAAAAAAGCTTCAAAACTGTGCGCTTACATACTAAACGGAACAAGCAGCGCAGAGTGGAAGCTGACCTAAGCCAAGCGTAAGGCTGATCAATGCGAGAAAACAGTTTTGAAGCGTTTCTCGGAGCCGACTGGCGTAGAAACGGCGCACATATAATACTTAAATCAAAAAAAAACTTTTGAGGATCATGTCTTAAATCTAATTAATCCGTTTGTATTAAACGATGTTTTTCATACTTATTTTTAATATTTAGTGCAAAGCTGGAAGCAAAATATTATTTATCTGACAAATCCATGTCTTCTCTTTTCACTTGCTTAAGCACAAAAAAATTACCAGATTAAAAAGCAAACATGTACGAGTATAATAGCAAAGTACGCGCGAAAATCAGCGCTGAATCTCGCATCCACTCTGCGGTATTTAAAATCGATCAGCACGTATCGAAATCAGCTTTACGTTCGGCTCGGCTTTCAGTGTCCACTCTGCAGGCCCCTTAGGTATATTGAAACTAATCATATTTTTAAAACATCGCTTAAATCTTCTTTAAGTTGGCCCGAGATTATCAAGTGATTATATTTCACACCTGTCATAACAGTATACTATGTATAATATATAGTATCGGTATTGAATACTATACATAGAATATATAGAATAATATAGAAACTATCACAACAAAAGAGAAGGAAGTACATACATAAAGCAAAATGGGAAGAGTTCAGTGCAAAAACTTTCATTAAAGAGTAAACAAATTAATCATCTTTTAACGATGGTAAATCCTATATGGCAATGAAAGAAGTCTGACTTGTATTAGACCTCTTAAAGTTTTTAAGTGTCTAGAAAGGTTGGCGTTTCTTTAGATTATAATAACAAAAAAAAAAAACGTATGATTCTTATAAAGTATGTAAAATATTCAATTTCTTGTATAGTTTCATGGTTCAAAATTTTATTTCTGAAATATTTCTTTGTAATAGTCTATTTATTCAGTTTTTGAGAGATTTATATTAAATACGTTTTTTTCGATATAAAGCTAGGATACCGCGGAACATGAATAATTAGCATAATCTAAGCTAAAGATGGATATGATGTGAATCTTGCAATATGTAAGAGTTAAAATTAACTTTAAAATGATTAGGTAAATTATGAACCGATTGTTAAGTGTAATTAATACAATTTGGTTGATATGGGTAATAATTTCGTAAATACATTATAGGATCAAATCGGGGGAACAAAAATATTTATATTGGGTATATGGGAGTTTGTGGAAGGTATGGATTAAATGGGTGACCACGGTACGGAATGACAATACTCGTATGCTAAACGAAACATTGTCACTACAAGTATATAAAATCAGTTTATATATTGGATTAAAAGGAGTTGATAGAATTCAATATGTCGTTTTATGGGAAGTAAAGGGGTGTGGTTTTTCAAACTGCAAATTACCAAAGAGCACATGTATTGAAATTCAACACGTGTAACATGTTTACACATTTTATCGCTTGCATGAGCATACGAACCATCTGATAGACAGTAATCCATCTCCATCTATCTTACTATCTCGATGTGAGAGTGTTACAAAAAATCAATCGATGATAGAGCTCTTTAAATGTGGTTTTGAGAGTGGAAATATATTGTAATTTTGAATTTAATTCCTGAGACCATAATAATTGATTAAAACTGTTAAACATTTCAAATGCGAGGGCGCAGAAGTTATAGCATGACTACACCTATACCACTATGTTTTGACTATAACAGTATGACTCTTTAACCTTCCTAAAATAATGAATTAATAACGCTGTCCTCTCAATTGCCTTGATCTTGAGATCTTAATGGCAGTAAGCGTAACTTGTTTTTTGCATCAGACGCCCAGGGAATGTATATAGAAACCGAATAATGACGATTTTTTCATTGATGTTTCGTTTTGTATGAATTAATATGGCCTGTCCAAACAGTAAATTTTTTGTCTTTGAAGTAAGTTTGATGGTTAGATTTGCATTGAGTTGAGGCTTCCAAAATATGTTAAAGGTTGGTTATTAATATGGTCGTAATGTTTTAAATACTGCACGTTTTGACTTTTGTTTGGGCGTATGTAAATATTTCTTGTTAATGGGGTTTGAAGATATTCTAGGCACATTTAAGTTTCTATTCGAGCTACCGTGGAGTACCAGGTCGGTTGAACCTTTCCTCCTTAATTTTTAATGCCTGACTTCCTAAATAATCAATGAATTTAGAACGCTACATTTCAATTTTGTTTGTTTTAAATATCGCCAAATTATTTTAAAAGTGTCTTATTCACTTAAAAAGCATGTGATTTTCATAAAAGTATGGAAAACAATTTTCAAATGTACTTTTGTTTCTTAATTTAACAAAGTACGCTTCTATTAAAGTGAGCTTCCTTAAATAACTGGTTTATCCGTGTATTTGAACACTTTAAACTCCATTCATATGAAAACTCAAAGCTGCTGGTTTTAATTGCCTGCAACGCAAAAACTTCAGCGTTGTTTTATTGGTTTACTCAGACAAACTATCACAGTTGGCGCATTTTTCAGAGAAGCTGCCAACAACTTCCCAGTTATTTGTCGCGCCTTTTACAAATGGTAATCAGCAAGAAATATAAAGCGCGTAAGAATAAACTTTTATTAAATTTATTATATGAAAAAAGTTGGCCAAGTTGATTTTTCATTTCGCTGTAAAAACAAATTGAAATTGAGATACATACATATGTATGTATGTATATTTAGAGCTTCGCAAGGCTTTTAGTAACGCAAAGTGGGGAGTGAGAGCCTAAAACCGTCGCACATCCATCATTAAAACCACAAAATGCAAATTGATTCCGCTTCAGAATTTGAATATTTTAGCGCCACCTGGCGATGGGTACATTACACACCGCCACAGCTCACCCGCCCTTACACACGCAAAAACCAACATTGGACTACCATCATAATTAGCATAATCTAATTTAAACTTAGCGCATCTTTCACACTCAACACCAGTGCCACTGTACGCCAGTTGATACTGGCAAATTAAAACATTTACTGTTCACACTACCTAGGGGTGTGAGATGTGCGTGGATCAGGAGAAGTGCTTTACAGCTGCCGTTACATGTCGTTAGACGACATTGGTTCGTCAAAAGTTTGTTTTTATAAGCGAAATGAAAAAACAATAAAAAACTTTTAAATGCGAAAATAAAAGAGCGAAGAGAACTCAAGTGCGCCAGATTGGCTTCGGCACCCGGATGGCACAGTACACCATAAACAAATACATTCACGGATTCATACTTCTGCCGAAATATGGTGTTGTCAAGGCAGGCAATCAGCAGCCGAATCATCACTGCACAAGCCCCGCCGTAGCGGCATTTAAATGAATTAAAACATTTTCGATGTACATATGTAGCACAGGGCGGCTTATATATAAGTATTATGTAACACTGCAGGTGGCGGCCGGGAAAGTGTTTTAATTTAACAAGTGCACTTGTATTTTTAACCACCAAGCTTCACCAATGCCATCTAGCTTACCCTCTACACAGATCTCACACTGAGCCCGTTAGCCTCTCTACTGCTAATGAACGCTGAATGTCGGAGTTCCAATGGTGCCGCTGATCGTCCACCGTCAAAGTTTTGAAAGTTTTCCTTGTTTTTCGAAATCATATTAAATCGTATGTGGTAACGGTTGTTATTGTTATGATGTGTTCTCTTGGAGCTGTTGTGTTTTCCTAGGTGGCACTTGAATTAGAAATACTAACTAACCAGTTTGTGTTTTGAACAATTTTTTTTTCGAAAACTGGTAATTGTGTTGTTTAACGAAGTAAATTTACCATAAACAAGTTAAAAACTGTTGATGAATAGGACAACACCATAATCAGTGTATAGTATAAATATAATTTATATTTTTAAGGTTATACATATGTTCATATGTGTATTTAATAATTTATTAACTCTGCTCTTATATATAATGTTTTCGTTTTTAAAAGTGTAGGTAGCGTTTATTATGAAAAAGGTTATAATTATAGAAAATACACTGTTTTGATATAGCTGACGTTTATTCAATACTTGCTCCAATATTTAGCGTTGTCCATAATAGCCTAACAACTTTGATAGCAACTAGCAACTAAATTTAGCTCTTATTTCACAGGAATGGCATATTTTGCTTTTGGCTTTCATTAAAGCCCAAAGATTCTTTATTGGATTGGTGTCTGTTGGCTGTAATGGTCAATCGATCGTAACAATACGATGTACAGAGTCTGATGCATCTCATTGCCTTCTTAGAGTATCCAACTATGGTTATGGTAAACTCTTTTATACAATTTTATCATTCTAACGGCATTCAGGTTTTTTGTGAAGCACCTCAAAACCCAAATCGTTATGTAGAGATACATCCAAAAACTTGTAACTTTTGGAGGTGCTTAACACTCCTTTAAATAAATTTTTGTTCTTTTCTTAGCCAAACACGTCATAAGGGGTTGAACAATAAAAAAGTGGACTCATCTAGAAATATTACATTGCTCCAATCACGGTTAATGGTTTTCTGCGCCCAACTCAACCTTTTTTCAATGTGTGTTTTTGAAAGTAGGGGTTTGATTACCATACAGTGCTGCGTTTGATGCCAGATCTCTGAAGTCTGTCTGGTATTTTAATTAGAGATATGTATAATACATTTATTAAAAAATACTTATAATGACGGGACCGGTAACATTCTGAAGAATGGTGTATATATTTACTCATCTTGTCAATCCTAATAATTAATGATTGGTTAGGCGCTTTCTATGAGAAAGTGCATTTGAAATTGAATTCATATATTTTGTAGTTGGACCTAATCTTCAAAGTCACGTGAAAAATTTTCCAAACTATTGACAATTGTTATATACTCTTAGATATTGAAATTTAAGTGACGCAACTATTAGTATTTGCAAAAAATTATAAAAATGAATTTAGTTTGTAAACGAAACCTTTTTTAAAATTGTTCTGCTAATAACAACTTTGCCAAAAATAGCTTGATAAGTGCTATCCGGGCTCTACACCAGGTGCAACATGGGGGATGAAAACATCAAAGAAGTGATTTTGGATGACGTAAAATGAGATAAGTAAGATATTCTACCATTCGAGCTTACAATTTACTAAAAAACTACAACAAATCGATGATTCTGAGTAGTGTTAGGAGGTATTCAATCGTAATAAAATCGATTTTTTGTACATTTTTGAGATTATATAAAACTTGGTTTCCTTATTTCACCCCAGTCTAGCTTTAAAAGGAGGAAACGATCAATAAGAGAAATTACATGGATTGGGAATTGCTTATACATTTACTGTATACTTCGGAATTTTTTCGGCCAACACAGCGGACCTTCGCATGCTTTTCTTTCTACAAGTCGATCGCCGATCGAAACAAGTAAGGAAGAGCCAAGTTCGGGTGTACCCGAACATTTAATACTCTTGCAACTTGCCAGGATCAAAATTGGGAAAATACATTCAGGTATTGGAAAAACTTCATATGCAACAAGTAAGGAGGGCTAAGTTCGGATGTAACCGAACATTTTATACTCTCGCAAAGTCAAATAGTATACTCGTTTGAGATTTCTTTGTGGATTGACTGATATTTTCGGTAGAAGGTCAACTATAGGCACTGTGGTCCACATATTTAGTACTTAGGGGCTTGAACAGTTTTGGTTCGATTTAAACAATTTTTGGTCACAAGATGGCATACTTTAAACGTATTATTCACGCAAAGTTTTACCCCGGTATAATCATTGTTGCTTGATATGCATAGTGGAAAGTGAAAGAATCAGATGGAATTGAAAATGGTGTTATATGGGAAATAGGCGTGGTTGTAGTCCGATTTCGCCCATTTTCGCACTATGACATAGAAATATAAAAAGAACGTTACGCACCGAATTTGGTTGAAATCGGTTAAGTAGATCCCAAGATATAGGATTTCACCTAAAAGTGGGCGGTGCCACGCCCATTGTCTAATTTTGAACGCGGTTCCTATAAAGTCATCTCATACCATCCCAAAGATAAAATTTAATGTCTCTGGCGTATTTAGTACTTGATTTATCGCGCTTTTAGTAGTTTTTAACAGCACCGTTATATGGGGAGTGGGCGGAGTTGCTACCCGATTTCAACTATTTTCACACTGTAGGTAGAGGTTCTAAAAACATTTGCTTCCAGTGCATTTTGTTATTATAGCTTTAGCGGTTTAGGAGATATGCACATTAAATCTATTAGGGGCGGGACCACTCCCACTTAAAAAAAAAAATTTAAATGCAGATGCCCCTCTTTAATGTGATCCTGTGTACCAAATAACAGTCTTGTATCTTATTGCCGAGCTTAGTTATGGCAATTTATTTGTTTTTGATTAATGGCGTTTTGTGGCCGTGGCAGTGGTCCGATTACGCCCATCTGCAATACCAACCGTCGCACGGTACCAAGAAACATGTCTACCAAGTTTCATAAAGATATCTCAATTTTTACTCAAGTTAGAGCTTGCACGGACGGACGGACAGACAGTCACCCGGATTTCAACTCGTCTCTTCATCCTGATCATTTATATATATATAACCCTATATCTAACTCGATTAGTTTTAGGTGAAACAAACATCCGTTAGGTGAACAAAACTATTATTCTCTGTAGCAACAGGTTGCGAGAGTATAAAAATGAAAGCGTGAATGAATTACAATCAAATTTGGTATATTATAGGCCATAGACTCAAATAGTTTTATTTTATAACTATATTTTACTTCCCGTCAGAGAAAATTATATTAACATGTGTGTGTGTATATTATATTAAATGAGAAATATCTGACATAAACTTAACCGAAAAAGCTAAATTTAATATGTGTTGATGTGCAAAACGTCAATCAGAAGATCGGAATTGATGACATTAGGGATATGACATTAAGATAAAGATAATAACACTCCATTCATGTTTACCGCTAAACCATTAATAAAATAAGGTTTGTTAAAATATCGGAAATTTTTATACTATGTAGTATAATTTAATTTCCCATATTTTCGACATTAAACTGAAGCTTTTCCAATATTACACGTTCAGTTAATTTTGCTAAGATATCTTACATATTGACCAATATATGTGTATTCCGGTTGGCCTTGAAAGTTTGAAAATATGTTATTCGATATATGGAAGATAGGTATATGATTGATCCGGGTTTTCTATTTTTTCTCTCTGAGTTTCATGAAGTTACTCACGTACCATTAACAATATATGTATAAGGTGTAAAGTTAACCGGCTGTTTGAAAATCCTGATATTAGTTATATGGGGGTTAGGGAAAGTTTTCACCTGATTGTATCCATTTTAGGCACAGAGATGCAGCATTAGAAGAAAAACACGCACACTCCAATTAATATATGGGGTATAAATTCAGCCAAAAGTTTGACTATCTTTGTATCCCATATAAATACTTATGGGGGCTAAGGGAAATATTGACCTGATTCAACCCATTTTTGACATACAGACATACAATTATCAGGAAAGGATTCTCCCCTAATTTCAATTGTATATCTTACACATTGACCGATATTTTCGGTAAAGGGTCAGCTATATGGGGCTTACATTTCCGATATCTGGGAGTTTGAATAGTTATAGTCCGATTTTAACAATTTTTAGACCTGAGATGGCAGGCCTTAAAGACACCATTCGTGCAAAGTTTTATACCGATAAACTTACTTGATTTGTATACTGGAAAGTGAAAAAATCAAATGGAACTGTTATATGGGAAGTAGATGTGGTTGCAGTCCGATTTCACCCATTACTGTATAATGGGAATATCAAAATAATCTTGTGTACCAAATTTTCCTAAAATCGAAAACCTATAAATTGCCATTACTAAGCCGCAAATTAAGATACAAAGCTGCGGTTTGTTACAATAAATCACAATAACGAGAGGCACCTGTGGCTTGCAAATTTTTTAAAAGTGGGCGTGGCCTCGCCGCTAATATTATATATCTCCTAACTATTCAAGCTTTATCACTCAAATTTCCACAGAACAAATCTTTTTGACACCTCTTGCGACAGCGCGAAAATAGGTGAAATCGAATGATAACCACGCCCCCTCCCCATATAGCGGTTTTGTTAAAACCTACTAAAAGTGCGATAAATCAATTATTAAATTCATCAGAGACATTAAATTTTACATCCAGGATGACATAAGAGGGCTTTATAGCAGGTCTCAAAGCTGCACGATGAGCATGGCATCGCCTCCTTTTAGAAAAAATCATTACAGTACAAAAATTAGCGAAATCTGACAGAACCCACGCCTACTTCTCATATAACATAATTTTAAATTCCATGTGATTCTTTAAGATTAAGTTATCAAATAAAAACTTTTCACAAATAATGCCCTCAAGTTATTTCATTTTACGGTCTAATATTGAAATTCGGGGAGAATATTTCTGTGATGACAATACTTTCCTTAGCTCCCAGATACCTAATATAATTTTTTTCGAATTTCCGATTGAGTTTATACCGCATCGATCAGTCAATATGTAAGAAATTTGTATGAAATTCAGAAATAATGTCTTTCGAATAATAGTGTACTCCCTTGCATCAAATCAAAGTAATACTTCATCTAGTTTAAAATAATGTTTTGCCAACACCAGAAGGTATTTCCCCGGCTTTGATTACGGCAATTGCAAGAGTATGCGATGTTCGGTTACATCCGAACTTAGCCCTTTCTTACTTCTTATAGTTTTTTACCTCTCCGTCGCGAAAACTTAGTCTCTAAGCAAGTTGAAGAGAACATGGATTTTTCGGTATTCCTTCGCATTTGAGGTTCTACAGAAAGATGGTTAGTCCCAAACAAATAGTTTTAATTTTACAGCATAAAGTTTTGTGTTTAAATAAGCAAACAAATGATTTTTCTACAATTATACTATTTTATTAGAAGCTCGTATTTATTTCGTTCTCTACAGCCCCGTCGGCAAGACACTGATATACATCTCTACATCAAACAGACTACTTGACAAGTTACACGCAAATCCCAAACTCCTATTTCTAAATGCAATCCTAAGTACATAAATCTCTTGGCGCATTTTATTGAAATCAAAAACAACTTAATACACAATCTGCTTTGTTCCGGCACTCAGTGTTAAGCTGCTTCAGCTTAGGGACAAAATGCAAAACGAGTGGTTGGGCTTTGTCGACAGGTTTCCATTTATTGTCTACCAAATCTGAAAAGTACACGAGAAGAACATTTAAATGTCATTGTCTTATTGTTTCTTATTGTGTTTGGGTTTCCGATACTTAAGAATTGCAGCTCTTTCCTGAAGATAGACATTACATTCCACTTTTATTTCTCTCTCCCACTTCAGCTTATTTCAATTGCAGCTGCTCGACTGGTGGCCATGTCGGAGGAACATCAGAAACAGCAGCAGCAGCAACAACAACAGCATCAACGTCAACAGCTCTTACAGCAGCAGCAGCAACAGCAACAGAAGTGCTCAAAGGATGCGGCAACACCCAACTCCTCCTCTGCGTCCTCTTCGCCCACGAATGCCACATCTACTGCGACACCGCGCAAGTCGAATATTCATGAGATGCGCAATCAAGACTTTGTTAGTCGACTAATGGCAGCCACGCCTCCCTACTTGTATTCAACGCCAGTGGGTGCTAACAACTTTTTCTTCAGTGACATGCTGCGCTCTCTGGTACAGGCACGCAACAACGAGAACGCGCGTAATCTACAACTGCAGCAGTCGATGGTGTTGGCGCGAAGACCCCGAAAACGAACTTGGGCGCACCGTCCTTACTATGAACATTTACGCGAACGCAAAGATGCGGAAGAGAAGCACCAATTCCTAACGCAACAACAACAACAGTTGAACAACAATGCTACCGCCGTGGTGTTGGAGAAGCCACTAGAGCTTACAAATAAACCATATTTTCACTTAGCCAATAAGTATCGCAAGTTAGAAGATGAATCCAAGGATGCGACAGATGTCAAGATTAGCAAGTGCGATACTGGCGGTATTCCAACTCCCGAATCTGTGGCTGCAACTGCTTCTAATAAGAGTGGGAATGAAAGAGGTGGCGCAGCCGAAGCTGTGTTGCAGGACACACCACCTGCAGCTTCTTTGCCACCACAGGATTTGGTTTTGCCACCACCGCCACCAGTCTGGTATCCACCGCTCTACCCACCCTACGGCATCGATCCACTGCACTTTTTCATTGATCTACGCGTCTCAGGTCACATTTACGATCGAAAGAAAGAAAATATTTCACCGCTCACAAACGCCGACGATAACAATGCTGCAACCGATTCAGAGACTACCGGTGGTAGCTGCTCTAATGTAAATTTGTTGAACAAACACCGACAGGGCTCCGCTTTCACTGTACCTGTGCCTCGTTCCAATGACAATAAACCTGCCGCGTCACATGCACTTGACGCGATCAATTTAACCTCATCCGCCATGGCTAGCAAGTTCGAAAACTATACCAAATACTATGATCTGGGTGAAGCCAAAGAAAACCAACCCTTAACTAAGAGCAGTGCTAGTTATATGTTGCAACATTTACCCCGACTTTACAGTCAGTTTGCAGCACGAGACCTGATCGCATCGAACGTAGCTGCTGCAGTTGGTGATGGCAATGGCAACAGCTTTGATAATGACAATAAATCTGAACCTGATTGTGAAGACTCCGATGGACGTGCGTCTGTGGATAACTGTACGAGTCTAGCTGGTAATAATTGTGAACGTGATATCGATGTTGAAATTATCGACTCAATTAAATATCGCACCGATGGCGACAACAGTCGCTGCTCGAGCGCCGATGAAGCATCCATCACACAAATTGATTAGACACTACAGTTATATGTGTATGTATTTTTACTTAAGTATTAAGTTTAGTATGTGAGTTTATGTAAAAAATAAATTATTATATTAATATGCGTATATTAAATACTATTGTATAACTTAAGTACTACTTGGGCTCAAAAATTTTTGACTTTAAAAATGACCGAAAAGGCTGCCAGTACCGGCTTTTGAGTCCATGCAGTGAATTCCGGGTGACTGTATGTCCCTCCTCAGAGATCGCTGAAAACAGTAAATTGTGTTGAAAAGTATTAAAAATACGGAAGGGCTGCATAAAACTCAGTTTAAGAAAAAAGCTAAGGGTATGTCAACCAAAGTTGATGCATAACACTATGAGCGAAATCGGACTACAAACACGCCTACTTCCCATATTACACAGTTTTAAATTCCATCTGATCCTTTCACTTTACAGTAAATACATAAATCAAATCAAATATCAATGAAGACATCGGAACAACGCTTTGCAGGTCTAACCCAAAAATTATCGGACCAGAAATTTTAAAGCCGCCAGATACCAAATATGTGGATCTCAGTGCCATTGTTACCTAGTCCCAATACACATACCTAATATAAAAATTTTCAAAATTGAGGTAAATTTTACCCGTATATTTCGGTCAATATTTGAGTTATTTTAAAGAAATTCACAGAGTATCTTTCTATGATGATTTTCTGTCCTTGTATCAAAAATAGCTAGTCTCCATATACCTAATAGATGCTAAGGATTTTCAAACGTCCAGTGGACCTTATACCATACATACTTGTATCGCTCAATCTGTGAGGTATCTCAATGAAACTCAGAGAGCATCTTTTTCTCGGTATAATAATTCGTTTTGCCGAATTGGATGGATTTGGGACAATATACCCCTAGCACCCATAACCAATATAGTGATTTCAGTCTTTCCAGTTGACTTGAAACAGTAAATTTTAGTCGTTATGTGCGATATTTTAATGAAATTCTGTGTTTTCTTAACCATTTTCACTCTACACACCAAGAGAATGAGAGAGTATTTTGGTCCCAGTTACTTTTACCTTATATTCTCAATATTTTCAATGTCGTATTGGTATTTTTATATCCATAGGTACTTCAGTTAGAGAATAGAAAAGCTAATTGTATTAAATTCAATAAAGTATGTAGAGTGAAAGACAGGTGTTCTAAATGAACCTTGATGGATTCGCCACGCAATCAACACCCCTAAAATGCCTGCGGCATATTGCACGAGCTTGCTCTTTGGAAGTAGGATGAAATGTGGTGTACCTATGTAAGTGTAATAATGATGAGCAAGATTGAAAATTTCTTTTCACTTAACTCGCAAAAGATGAAAAAGAAGTCAAACGTACTTACATATAAGATACGAGTATATGTATGTGTATGTGTACTTATGTAAGGGCGCGTTGCACGGGCTGTGCTTAATTGACGATGAAGATCTGAAAGCAACAATTTCATAAATCATTTACTGCAAAGCGCGATGAAATTTCGGTGTGTCGCACTGAAGTAAGATTGTTCACGCCGCACGTTGTTGGGCGCGGAAATTGCGGCGACCGCAACGACGAGACCAAAATTATACGAAAACAATAAAAAAAATTTAAATATGCTTAAAAAATTGCTGACAGTGATTTTGTTGGCTGTGGTGTTGCAGTGCGCTGCGATGTGTCGTGTCGATGCTTTCGTGGTGTAGGTGAAGTACAGTTTCTGACTGCTGATGATTTTTCCAGGATATTAATTTTTACACCATTCATTGGTTTGCTCTGCTTTGCGAGACTGCTGATTTTGCCGTTGATGACACTGTCGCAGGAAAAGTCGCTTCCGGTTTTAACGTTGCGAATGCGTTTCCCCATTTGGTTGTTGTTTATTTTATTCGCATCAACCAGATTGATTTCAATTATTGGTATATTTTTTTACTTTTAAATTTATAAACAAAAAATACCGATCTACTCATGCAGAAAAACTGCAAAGGCCGACAATTCCGATAACGAAGTGCCGTAGCCTTCCCGAAAAGGTTGTGGTATGTGTGCAGTTTAGTATTTGTGTATTGAAATATGAATGATATAATATATTCGAATACATGTATGTTTGTGTGTTCTAAGAGCAAATATTTTCCTTTTAGACATGTCTTCCACCAAGTGAAGTTAAACTGGAAATCATTACAGCTCACATTGACGGATAAAATCATCACTTTTATTTACGGAATACGTCCCGTCTCATACGGCTGAAGGCTGGGCATTCGCATAGACAACGTTCCAGCGTCTCATCATCCTCCGCGCATGTTCTGAACTCCGCCTAATCCACCTACCCTGCCCTGTGATGAGCCCTACAATGTTATATGCTTCCTTTTGCCTAGAAGTAGGAGCTTATTGGGCTGTTCACTATCAACACTACCCCAAAGTAAATTTGTGGTATGCCCTGTGTTGCTTGTGTTCCAAGACCTGAGGTGTTTCTCTAGATTCCATTCTTTCAAACAACTTTTGAAAACGCTGAATGGTCTGGGGCAGGGTAGGAAAATTGTATCTCCAGCTGCCCCCGAGCGGGCTAGCTCGTCTGCCTTTGCATTTCCTTCTATTCCATGTTACCGGGTATCCAGAGGATGTTAACAGAGTTATCTACTGAGAGTCTAATTATTGCCTGCTTGCATAACCTAACGTGGGGAGACTTGGTACTGGCCCTACGGATAGTCTTAATTGCCGCTTCGCTATCCACTAGAAGGTTTATGGACTTGCTGGTTAGAGCAGAGGCATACTTGGCACCTTCTGTTATGCCCATAATTTCGGCCAGATAGACTGAATTTTAGTCATTTTGTTTGAAGCTACATACCTTCTGTGTAGGGATTACTACATAAGAGGCCCGCTCCTCTTCCTATTTTTCCCTTTGACCCGTCGGTGAATATGTAGATTTCGCCCTTGAAGCTGTCAATCACAGAACCAATGGTCCTTTCTTCTCTATTGGGGAATGAAAACATTGTGTTTACTTCCTCATGGGTCTACCTGTCTCGGTCGCTTTTCCAATTTATCCCGTGTTAAGTATGATACCATGACGTTGTTGTCGCCGAGTGTAACTCCAATGGTCTAAAATCATGAGACGGCTGGCCGTAAGCATTGCCTAATACTTCACTTGTATATGTATTGGCCGGATGTCAAGGATAGCCTTAGTTGACATAATTTTCTTTGCGCCCGTAATCCCTAGCAAGCAGGCCCGTTGCACCTGTTCCAGGGGTTTAATACGACACTTTTCCGATAATGCCATTCACCATACCACCGCATCATATGTTAGTATGGGGTGGATGACACTTATGACACAATAGACCATATGGGGTCGTAAAACCTACTTTGGGCCAATGCCTCTTCTGCAGGGCTTCGAAGGGCTTTGGAAGGCCTGCTCTCAATGTGCTCTCTCCAGCTTAGTTTTTTATCTGGAATAACTCCGAAATATTTGACGGAGCTCGAGAATACAATAATTCTACTTATTAAAGAGTGGAGATTGAATTTCGAAATTTTTGTCCCTCTTGTGTTTAAGGATTTCACAGCTTATATGAAGTATTATTAGAGGCATTCAGACAACTTTGTTCATTCCTTAGTCGTTATTTTTTTACGTCCCAGTAACGAAGTGCCAGCCTGGCAAGCTTGATAATTTTTTCGTTACTTGGCAACATCAAATTAGATGTTTGTTTTGCGTCGTTGCCTAAAAAGTTCATTTGATTCATTGCGAAAAATACATTTACAAATAATTTTTATCAAATTTTTTAAAAGTATTTAATAAAATTGAAACAGCTATTTTGGAGCAAAATATACCACACTACTGAGATAGAGCAAAAATAATGTTTACAGTTAAGTGTTTTAACGAAGTATCAACTAACGAATTACCAGATTAACCTGTTCAGCCTGAATATCCCTATTAATTTGAATACAACTTACAACTTCGCTATTTCACTTTCTATTGTAGCACCCATGTAAATAATTCTCAAACCTTTATCCACTTCTCGACACGGATGGAATTTAACCTCAAAATAAATATTCGGGGTTCATGCTAGGTAAGCTGAAAAGTTCGAATGATTTTTATGCGAACATCTATTAAATATATGTACATATTTCGTGCGAGCTCACAAACGAGCGAATACTCCGTGTATTGGGTAAAATTTCATGAATTAAACCAAATTCGAGTTGGTTTCGCATTCATCGTATACTCCATATCTGGCCATCAGAAATAGAAAAAAATTAGCGGCGATGAACGGGTAACTTCGAGACTGATTGTCTATTTTAAGGTACATTTTTTACTACAAAAGCATATCGAAACTTTGAGACCATTAAAGTAATGTATTATAAACTCGAATTTTGATTTTTTCGTTAAGACGATATCCACTTTTGTACCTGTTGTATAATGTACAATATAGTAAAAAATTAGTTTCCATTACGTCTGTAGCCAAAAGCTAAATATTATTTGCGGATCAACCACCCAAACAAATATGGAATATTGGAGCAGATCTGCCAATGAATAAACACCAAATGATTGTTATTACTAACAGACGATAATTCCATACATGTATAAGTATGTGAAGTAAAGGGTCTTCCAAAAAGACCGACGTCGTGTTAAAATGAAATAAAACACTCAAATTAGGTAAAATGGGTTCTGTTTTGTTGTGCTGGTAATGTTATACCATTTATAATTTGAACAAAATGTCGGCCAAATGGCTACCACGGCTTCGTTTGTACCCATTTACACCAATTTTCGATGCTATAGTGTGCTGAAAGTTGCCTTCGAGCTTCTCGAGCGTTGCTTGGTTGCTTTGATTAACCATACCCCAAGAAAAAATAATCTAGAGGTGTTAAATTGCATGATATTGGAGGCTATTTGACTGGGCCATTTTTTGAAATTAAGTAGTGGCCTCAACATTGCATGCACATGTGTCCATGGTTAGACATGTAACATGAGGCGGCGCACCGTCTTGTTGGAAATAGAGATCGTCCGCGGCGATTTACAGTATATATAATAATCTTGGACAATTTACAAGCGTTGTACCAAAGTGAAACATGACATGATGAAATGGCAAACCTTACTAAACACACTGACAAAATTTGACATAAATTCGTAAATAAACATGATATGAAGACGACCCACGAAAGGGATCTACCATTTGGACAGCTTTTATATTATTAAGAAATTAGAATAAAGAACTATATATATTTCAAATAATATGCATAAGCAACGAAATTAATAAGTGTAACTTGTTGTTTATATTTGCTTTTCTGCTTACATAACTCCTTTGTTGTCGTTTCACTGTGTACTCTTTCTTGTATCAATAGCAATTTTGATTTATATCCTCCAAAATTTCAATTGAGCTACAACGCCCTCTCTACACAAAGGAAAAATAGCATCGTAATTTTCGGAACGGTGTGAGAAATTTTGAAATTCAACCTAATTGCAGTAAATTTATATTCGAGAATAGCATGGTATAAAAGTTTCACTACCGAACGCTGTCTTTTGCTCAACTTTCTTTTGTTATCTGTATACATACGCAAATATACTCAAGCGAAGTACCATTGTTAGCAGCAAAAAAGGCGCTTATGCATGCTTGTTGCTGTCGCTGAAGAATTTAAAACGTTACTTTTGCTAATCATAAATCTTCAACAAGTCTCATAATTCATCCACCGCATTTTTCTCGTCATCTTATTCGCGCGTATCTCCTTGTTCCTGCCTTGCCACCCCATGTTTGTACTCGCCCTCAATACCTCGATGGCGCACTCGGCTTCATTGTGTTTGCGTCAATCTGAATTTTGTTGTTCATTGAATGTTTTTTGTTTGCTAAAAAAACAAGTCCCTAAGGACATCGCCAGTAGAAAAAATGGTAAAGGAGTAATATGGTAGCTTCACAAAATAAGGTTGATTGCCGGTCACCCTTACCCAAACCATTTTGTCATTGTAATAATCGTAATAATAGAAAATATGCTTTTAAAATAATTGCTTTGAAATTGGCGAATGACAATTAATTTGTTAATTCTGCTAGTCGGTATAGGACAGAAGTTGAGCAATTAAGCAAAAAATATAAATTAAGAAATACTCATATGCAATACGCAACTGAATTTGTACTTTTAATAAGAAGCGATGCGCGCATTTTTATGGCTTATATTTTTATACATCAGATAAAATTGCATTTTTCTGCTTACCACCACAAACACGAATATGATTAGCGTGGATTTGTGTACATCCATACTATGAATTTAGATATTTCTTTTTGTTAAGGATGTTTGATATTTAATTAGGTGATTCAATGCTAGCGAAGCCGCGGGTAAGGCTAGTTGTTCATAACATTGCTGTGAATTCATACCTAATTATATTTCTAATTTTCAATAACTGTCAATTTTGATGAAAGTGTTTTGACGCTGGTGTACTCAGGAAACAAATAAAACTAGTTGCACATATGGCTATTTTCTATGAAACCTTTGACAGTTCGCGCTTATCTTGACTAACTGTATTTTGAATTAAGTGAGTGATTAAAAGTAAATCGTTGCGAATTAACACAAAATACAACCGAAAAAACTGCATACTCAGAAAAAAAATATGCGGGGAAACTTTAGTATACCATCCCACGATTTTTGGGTTTATTGGGTATTGTTGGATAGAGGAGATTCTCTAGATTAAGAGTTTTAAGTTGAAAATTTTACTTGCAATTTTTCGATGTATAGTTAATTTTTCTTTTATGTTATGCACTTATTATTCACTACCACTACATTGTTTCTACATATTTAATTTTTAATTTAATCGCAGTGAGGGTACTGTACGAATAATTTATAATTAGTCATCCGGTCAAATGCATTTTTGGTTCTTTTGTATTTTCGCTGCGGTTTGACGAGATTGAATTATGAACACCCCGGTTTTGGACCGGCCAGGGTTATTTTTTTGAAGCGCGGCCGAAGGCCGCCAGTACGGAAAGGAGTTCGACAAAAAACAAGGTTTTTTTTTATTTTTCCAAAAATGGAAATATTGAAAAAATTCACTTTCCGCTCACGGATTTGTAATCTAAATTTTAATTTTTGAGGCCCCCTTAGTTGGGGGACCTAAACTATACATTTACCGAATTATATACTGTATTTTTAGACAAACAGCTTTTACTGTATAAAAATAATGAAAGCACAGGTTTTAGGTTAAAATAAAAGGAGTGGCTATTCACACGGATAAAAAATCAGTGTTAAATCCATGTTACAGCCACGCAGCACTGTCCTAAAATAAAAAAAATTAGTTTATGCATAAATATAAAATTTTAAATATAGCCGGATTAATAAAATAAAATTATTCGTACGGTAACCGGATAAATAATTACTAATTATTCGTACGGTAACCGGATCAATAAATAAAAATTATTCGTACAGTAACCGGATGAATAGAGTCAGCCTAATTTAATTTCGGGATTAAAAAAAGTCATTCGGTGCCAAGTCAGGACTATACGATGGATAAGTTATCAAATCGATATTTCGAGCGCTCAAAAATGCAGTTGTTTCAGTCTATATGTGAGGGCACGTATTGCCATGGTGAAAAGTGATCCGTCTTCGGCGGTTGGTGTTCTGATTTTTGGAAAGACAACTGGCAAACAAATGGGTGTGTACCACTCAGAATTAACTGTTCTGCGTTTGTTGTTGTTGTTTTAACGGTTACCTTACATTCTGTTCTGTGTTTTTCTAGTAATGTGCTTCGCGGGTGAACAACTTTTGTTGGATTCGGCTTACCTGGAAACACCGATAAAATCGAATTCTGCTTAATATCGCGCTCATACGCGTAAGTCCATGATTCATCACCTGTCACGATATCATAGACGTATTTATTGAGTTTGGACGACCTTCACGAACCTTGCCTTGGAGTAATCTACGATTTCGATTGAATTCACCTTAACATCGATAAACACTGGTCCTTAATGAAGCTTCATCGCCAAAAATTTAATAAAGTTCATCGACGTTGAGTTAATCTACGTCAAAAATTGTAAAAAATAATCATGCTAAATGTTCGCGATTTAAATCCATTTTTTGGACGAGATGACTGTAAGCAACACAAATAGCACTTGTATGTCAAAATGTTCTGAGTATGTATAACATCAAAAATGTCAAACTTTACGATAAAGTTGTGAGCTGTCACATTGCATAGTATACCTGAGAGTTTTACTAATATTTTGGCTATTTGTTCTAGGTTTTATTTCCTTAACTTTATCGGTGCTTGATTTATATTCTGTAAAGTGAAATTTATATATATTATATACGTATGGGAAGTAGGCGTGGTAAAAGTCCGATCTCGCCCATTTTCACAACATATGTCGAAGTTATCTTATGCACTTAATATAGTTGAAATTAGTCGGTTAGTTTCTGAGGTATAGGATTTCATCTCAAGGAGGGCGGTGTCTCGCCCATCGCTCAATTTATACACCGGTTCCCACAAAGCCCTTCCGTACCATCTCGAGTGTAAAATTTAATGTCTCTGACGCATTTATTTATTGATTTATCGCCCTTTTAGTAGTTTTCAAAATAACCGTTATGTGGGGAGTGGACGTGGTTTTTATCTGTTTTAAATCAATTTTACAGTGCATGAAGACGTGCTCAAAGGACTGCCTTTCAGCAAGTTTGGTAGAATTAACTTTAGGGGTTTGTGAGGCAAAGGGAAATAGCAAGATTTTTATTTTCAAAATTTTTATTTTAATTTCAGTAGGCAGCACTTATATTTAAAACTAAATTTCGAAAATTCGTTTAAGTTTAGGTGCTGGGTCCAAAAATGGACTGCCTGTAGGCGATCTTGCCCAGGTAAGAGTAAAAAAATAAAATTATTGTTGTAAGTTTCTGTAAATTAAGTATTACTTAAGTTTTACACATTTGTTCATCAACACATAGTCGAGCATGCGATAGTTTAAAGTATCAATAACTTTCCTTATTTGAAACAATGAAACGTTCACCTTTTAGTGTGCTAAAGTTCAACGGCTTGTCAGCTCCGTTTCCAAAAACCCCCGTTATCCTTTTCATCTAAAACTCCCGTAATAATTTCTTCTTCCTCAGGTGATATGTGGTCTACAACGCAATCTGGGTCTGCTTCACTGTCGTACTGAAATTCCTCATCAGACAAGAGAGTCGAGCTCTTTAAGTTTAACAATAAAAAATGTAGAAAAAAAACATAGTGATCATAAAAAATAGGTGGCACACAACAATTTCATGCGAAAGAAAATGTTTGCTGTGCACGGGCAAGATTGTCCAGAGACGAGTTTTCAGTGTTTTGTGAAGCTCGTCTCTTATTTTTTGTTATTCGATATTGAAGTAAAAATTAATTATGAAAGTCAGCAATATTTTTACTTACGAAAAAAGGAACCCAACTCAAATATCATGCTCGAAAACACACTTTTATTCACTCAAAATTTGTAACAAATTTTAATGTAAATTATGCGTCACTTTTTACTTCGTCTCACATTTCAACTCGCAAAACAGTCAAATTATTCCGCTTAAGTGGAGTTCTTAAGAATTATGAGGCAATAATATTTATTAGTTACTGACGGTCATGCCCGGCAAAGGATTAAACCTATTAGATTGCCTACTTTTCAAAAATTTTCAGTTCACAAATGCCCCTTTCCACTGCGATAGCTTGTACCAGTACCAGTAACGGGCTTGTATCTTAATATTTAGCTTAGCTATATCCTCTTATATGTTTTCGCTTAAAGCTCGGATTTCAAATCTTGATCATTTGTAACCTATATCTATCTCAAATAACTTTAGGTGTTTCAAACAACCGTTAGGTAAACAAAACTATTATACTCTGTAGCAACACGTTGCGAGAGACTAAAATTACAAATTGCACCATTTTTGGCAGCCAATCACCGTGAATGAAAATAATAAAAAATTCTGCATCGAATCACTGCAGCGCAAATATTTCCATTCTTACCCAAAACGTAAAATGGGAATAGAACCATACTCGAAGCTCCACCCTCCAACGCAAAGTGACATTTTGTATTTATTAGGAGGTAAAAAAATTATACTAATGATTTCACTGCTGTTTTCCTATTGTAAAAACTTCATACATACTTTTATGTATTCATTGGGCCATATTGAAATGTAGAAGGTGATTACAGTGGCATAACCTCATATTTTGATAACTCCTCTTCGAAATTGCTTAGAATCGCAGTAAAAAGAAAAAGTTTAAAAAATTATTAACTTAAAACTTATTAAACTTAGAAAACAAATATACATACACATACATACTTCATTTAGTTTTAAGTCTTGTAAACATTTAAATCTAAAAAGTAGAATGGTCCCGCATCCTAATAGGTTTAATAAGCATATAACACAAACCACTATAACTATTTTAATCAATCTTGCTAAGAAGAAGTTTTGCAGTATTTCTTTATACACTGTGAAAATAGATGAAATCAAATGTAATTACGCCAACTCTCCAAATAACGATGAGTTGAAATCTATCAACAGTGCGATAACTTAATAAGTAGATGCCTCAAAGAAAATTAATTTTACACTTAAGATAGTACGGGTTTCATAGAGGCGGTGTCATAATTGAACAATGGACGTGGTACCGACCACCTTCAGGTGAAATCCAATATTTCAGGAACTACTTGACCAATAACAATCGAATCTAGTCTAAAATTTTACTTCAATATTTTTATCCTACAGTGTGGAATTGTTATATGTTATGTTATTAAATTCCATATGATTCTTTCACTTTACAGTATAGGAATCGAAAGCCTATGATGTTTACTACATAACACTTTGCACTCAAAGTGCACCTAAGGTATGCCATCTTACATCCAATTTGAAATCGGACAATAACTTTTAAAATTCCCAGATACCGAATATGTCAACCTCAGTCCCTCCAGTTGACTTTGGTCCGAAAATAACGTAAATATTTTAACTATTCTACCCCCATATACCTAATAGAAGATTTTTGAACACCGGTCAATATGTGAGCTGTCTTAAGAAGTGTACGTATAATATTGGACATACTTCAGCTTAATTAGGAAAATGTATGCAATTGTGATAGCAATTGTATAGAATGATTTTCATAATTTTAGCAGAGTCTATGCCGAGTATGTTGGTCAGTGTGTGAGTTATCTTCATAAAATCGCTTGGAAACATGTTCTCGAGTATACTAGAGACAGCCTCTTTGGTTAAGTT